ACCAGTTTTCATGTTTTATGCTTGTACACTCCTTGCAATGCTCAAAATTTTTTGGTAACATTTCCAGCCCATCTGCAGTAACAGTGTGTGCCCTTCCCCTGCATTGGCCACGTTCAGATCTGCTTGTTTGTTTGAGTCATAGCAACGACCTCCTAACCAGTCGCCCTGTTTTCTATCCATCCCTTCTCCTCGTAACCCATTCTGTGCAGTTGTACTCAAGTAATGGCATCTCTCTCCTCTATCCTCTGCTTCAAAAATCACTTAATAGCTCCTTACTTCCTGTAGGGCAAAGGGCCTAATTCCTAGTCATCAGTCAAGGGCCTTTCACGCCATTTCCAGTGGAATTCTTGAGTCTTAAATCTGACCAATATTCCTTCCCAAAGCAGCATCAGTCACCCTGGAAGCATCCACAGATTTGCCATCTGCTGGCCCTTTGAGGCGTCTTTGTTGCCTAAGTTTCTGCCCTGACTGTCTGACAAACTCCTATTTTGCTAAACACACCCTACTATCTAGCTGGACTGTCCCTTCTGCAAAGTGACAGGCAGGTTGAATGGCCCAGACTCAGATGCGTTGGTAACTTGCCCGAGATCAAACAGTTAAGTGCAGGCCAAAAAATTCTCAAATTTAGCTCTCCCTGTTGTTTTCCAACCTATATATCAGTGTCTTTTTATTGAAAATGACACAATGCTCGGTCATGTTTACCGGGTCTGAGAACAGTCAAAAACCTGTGTGAAAGAGCCTTTTAACACTCTCTACAAAGACTTTGAGAACCTCAAGCCATGAGAAGCACTTAAAAGAAAGAATTTCTCAAGAGGGGCTGCAGCAGCAGATGCGATGCCTGGTGTCATCGGGGCTGAGCCGATGTGCCCTTTATTCCTCACATTTGAATTCCTTTCAGGAGGACTCAGCATCTTGCATAGAGTGGCTGATTGCCTTTTGTTTATCGTTTTATTACCAAAGAATAAATGCCTTCCTTTTAACTTCATCATGTGAGTTAAGCCCTCCAGTCAAGGTTACCAAAGGTGTGTGCTCCCACCCTGAGGCTCACCCCACCCAGGCAGCTGGCATTTGGCAACAGGGCAATGCTAGAAGCACATTCTCCCCTAAGCACGTGACTAGGAGTGGAGTATTTTATCACTGACACTGTTTAAAGCTGCCAATGAATTAAAAGCAGAAAAACTTTTAGTTCTTTTGGTATTATTTTAATCTCTCTGCAGACAAGGCCTCCATCCCCCATTCCCTGGTGCAGAATATCCCCACGCCCAGGGTGGTCATCGCTGTTCAATGTGTTGAAAAATCATAGGGCTCTGAGTCCTGACCATAGTCCCCAAAAGGAGCGTTTCTTGTCATTTTCCAGATGAGGAAAGTGAGGCTTGGATGAAGGCAAGTAATTTGCCTGGTCACACAGCCAAGTTCCAGGATCTGAGGCGAGTTCTGGGATGACATGACCCTGGTTGACCTTGTGCCCTGAGGGCCTCCTGGCACACAACAGGCATTCAGCAATGATTGAGCAAAGGAAAGAATCAGGAAAGAGCTTTGTCTCGAGGTTGCCAATTTACTGTCTCTGGGATATACTCAATGAAGCAATCGGAGAACATCTTAGCTCCTTGAAAAGAAGAAAAATGTCCCTGAATTTTGTGACTCATTCTTTTAATGGCCTCCAAATCACAGGTGCTTAAAGGCACCTAAAGAGCTGGGGCCCACGGTTTGGCCAACAGGGTGGCTAGCCTATCCCAGTACTTCCTGCCCCTGTGTCGGAAGCATCTCCTTTAGCTTTCTAGAGGACAGGTTCCTTCTGTCCTTCCGATCCCAGCTTAAGTCACCTTGAGGAGTCCTTCATGGACCATCCAGCAGAAACAGCCACCAGCCCGCTTAGATGCCACCGTGGTCCATTGACTACCTCTAGAACATTAGCTCTACGGAGGCATGTAGCTGTCCTTTTCTGTTGTCTGCTGATTCTCTGTGCCCAGCGCTGCAGCTGTCACATAGTCCTGACTTGCTGGCATGATAAATACATGAATACGTGAAGATATTAGGATCCAAGTTTCAGAGAAAAAAGAACATGGGTCTTCACTGTGTGCTTACCAAGTGCATGGTGTTGGACTGACTGACTTAACCTAAACCTTTGGATCTCAGTATCCTCATATCTGTGAAGGAGATGAAAATTGTAACTTACTATACAAAGTACTTGCCAGGCTACATCACAATGATCAATAAAAATAAGATACTATATAGATCCCCCAAAATAAGTCACCAGTGCCTACAGTGAATGCTGCTTTGCCTGCAGTAGACAGAGAATAATGAGCCAGCTCTCAGTTTGCAAGAGCCTGAGAGTAGGAGTTCTTCCTCACTCCATTCAGAGGCAATGATGTGTGTAAGCCCAGGAGCACTGCCTGCATCCCAGGATGGCCCTGCTCCCTTCTCTCCCTCACTACAAACATTTGCATAAAATAAAGATCCTGAATCCCTAGCTATTTTCACCTTGACTTCCCAGCAGGGGTACTGTAGCCATGAATGCCATGAAACCATTCTGATGACATGAATAGAGAGTGTTATGTGAGATGAGAGGGAAGTGCATGCAGGAGCCACTGATGCACTTTGAATCAACCCAAGGCCCCTTTTCATGCAAATGGGGAAAACAGAGAAAAAAGGATGTGCAGAATGGAAGCACAAAGGCCACCCTGGACTAGTCTGGCTCCCAGAGTGGTCCTTGTCCTTGTGATCCCCAAAGCCGATCATCATATATTGCGCCTCAGCAGGAGCTGGGAATTGCATTAAGGGGCAAACTTTCCCGTTCTCTTTCAGATTGTTTTCAGGGAATTTGAATGATGTTTCTCAAGCAGTGAACAAATCTGAGGGAAACAAAAGTGTTGAAAATGGGCTTTTATAAGCAGACTCCAGGCAAACTCTCACCGTCCTGCAGAAAATGTGTCTTGGAGAGAGGAGCTGGGCAATTGCCAGCAGTGGGACTGGCTGGAGGTTGGCAAGTTAGGGTGCCAGAGAACTTTGCCATTACGTTTTTATTGTAAAAGTCTCCCAGAGAAGCATTGATGCTGTTAATGTGCAACTGTGGGGCACCATGGGACCCCAGATTGTTAAGGGGTGTACATTCGGAAAGATATCCTGCCATCTGCTGTACAAAGACAAAGGAAGCAGATTGTTAGTGTGATAGATCTTTAACAGAGTTGGTATGGAGAGAGAGAGAGAGAGAGAGAGAGAGAGAGAGAGAGAGAGAGAGAGAGAAGAAAGGAATTTCCTAACAGTCATTTTCCAACATAACTCTCAAAATTACCCATTCCCTCCTGGGCAAATGCCCAGCCAAACAGGGTTGGCCTGAAGTGGGGCCATAAAAGACTGAACGCTTGCCACAAGGCTGGGTACCCTCTGGTGGGGAATAATAAGAAAGGGATAAGGCAGGTCTGGGACTAAAGGAGCAAAAGGAAACGCAAAATCAAGAGAACAGCTGCCATCGTTTCTGCCAACGGCAAACTTCCCAAATGTCTCTCACCCACATATCTCTCTTGCACATGTCTCCTTCCAAGACCCCCCAAGTCTCTGGGTGCAAGTCAAAGCCAGAGAAACAAGAGCCCCTAGATCCCAGTGGGTCCCCCACTCTGGAAGTCCAGTTCATGGCATCCTGGGACCTAGAGTCCCAGTGGATGCACGTGGAACCGGGGAGAGTGATACCTCCCCCTTGTGGAGGTGCAGTAATGTCTTACGTGAGGACTGATAACACGTTGCCACTGAAAGACTCTATTTAACAAATAATTGCTGAACATCCTGTGTCGGGGCCTTGTCAGCCACTGTAGGGGACGGATGCAGCCATTCCCTCACCTAGTTTCTGTGGTCACACGCTGGTTTAGGAACTGTATGTTTAGCACAGACTATTTTCAGGCACTGAATTCCATGCAAAGTTGTGATGACAGCATAATCCCAGCAGCCATTTCACCTCTTGCCTGGACCACCGCAGGAGCTTCCCTGACCATCTCCCTGCCTCCACCCTGCCCCCCTCCCCACAATTCATTCTTCATACTACAACCAGAAGGATCTGTTAAAATGTAAATCAGTTTATGTCTCCTCAGCTTAGCATCACTTAGTGGCTTCCAGCTGTAGTTGGTATTAAGTGCTAACATCTCGTGCAGACCAACAAGAGCTACCTGCACTTCCAACCACACCCCTCTGTCACCAGCCTGCTGCTACACCATTGCTCTTTATTTTTCCCTCAGGACCTTGGCACTTGCTCTCTCCAATTCCTGGAGCTCTCTTCTCCTTGCATGACACAGGTTGGCTCATTTCAAATTTTCAGGCATTAGTTTAAATATCAGCTCCTTGGAATGATTCAAATTATTCTTCAGCTCCAATTTGAATCATGCCATCCACCATCATACTCCCTGATCATGGCCTGTTCTTGCATGGCACTTGTCACATTTCGTAAATGTGGATGATATATTTAGATCTGTGAGAGTTAATGTCTACATGCCCTACTAGAATGTAAGGTCCACAGTGGTAGGATCCCTTCTATTTGGTTCACCACTGAACACCCAGTGCCCAGCACAGTGCCTGACAAATAACAAGTACTCAGTAGAAACTAGTCATGTTCAGAGAATGGAATGAGATTAACAGTTTCTCAAGAAGTTTAACCAAGGGTCTCCCTGGTGGCACAGGGGTTGAAGACACAGCGCTATCAAGCTATCACCAGCCACTGCAGCATGAGTTCAATCCCCAGCCAGAGAGCTGACCCACACAGCTCAGCAGACCTCTCCTGCCTCACCCTCTGTTCCCGTCAGCAGTCTATTTCAGTAGATCTACCTGTTCTGCTCCCCACTCTGCCTCTGGTGGATCCGCTCAACCCCTGCACCTCTGGCCTATACCCCACATCTTGTATCAATCAATAAATAAACCTTTAAAAAAAAGTTCAATCAATAGCCCATGATTTCCACCCTTCCACCCCACATCTCAACGATTAGACTAACACTTCCCTCTTCATTGCTTGGTTCCAGGAGCGCCTTGTGCTGTCTGTGCTCCCCCGTTTCGTCGTCCTGGAAATGATCAATGACATGACCAATGTGGAAGATGAGCACCTGCAGCACCAGTTCCATCGGATCTACATCCACCGCTATGAGAATGTCAGGTGAGAATGCCACCCCGCTACTCTGGGATCTGTGTGTGCCAGGTGCTTCTCATCCCACGGCCATGGCTTCTGGCTGCCCAAATGTCAGTGCCTTTCCTCATTCGGTTGATTAATTCATTAGGTAGTGATTATTCCACAGAGAGTTCGACATTTCCAAATTGAGACTCAAGAAGGATGTCAGAAAAATGCAATCAGAAGGAGCATGTTGAATTATTGCCTGGCTCCTCTGCACTGGCCTGTCTGCCTCTATATTTCAAGTAGGAAAAGCAAAAGCCTGTTACACTATCATTGGCAAAATCATTACAGATTGCAACCTGGCAGACTTGGGTAATCACATAGCTTTTCTTATGCTCCTCATAAATTTTCTTTAAAACATTACTGCAAAAATCTCCAGCTCCTTTTTCCTTTGAAACCATATTTTTGGTCACTAACCCATCTATCCCTCCACAGCCCCATCTATCCACTCATCTACCCATCTATCCACCCTTTCATTCGGTGACTGACATACCCACCCACACATCCATCAACCCATCATCCATCCATCCATCCTCCATCCATCCATCCATCCATCCTCCATCCATCCATCCTCCATCCATCCATCCATCCATCATCCATCCATCCTCCATCATCCATCCTCCATCATCCATCCTCCATCCATCCTCCATCCATCCATCCTCCATCATCCATCCTCCATCCATCCTCCATCCATCCATCCATCCATCCATCATCCATCCATCCATCCATCCATCCATCCATCATCCTCCATCCATCCATCATCTATCCATCCATCCTCCATCCATCATCCATCCATGCATCCATGCATCCATCCATCCATCCATCCATCCATCCATCTGTGTATCTGCCATTCACTCTTCCACCCATTAGCACCCTCTCTGAGCTCAGCACTGCACTAGACAAAGTGTGTAATGGAAATCAGAGGATGGCTTCTTAGTGAGGCAGATCAGCTTTATAATTCCAGTTTTACCTTTTCCTTGCGTGTGACCTTAGGTAATTTGCTTACCTGAATCTTATACTTCTTCTAAAATGGGCATTTTAATAACCACCTTGCAGGGTTTTGTGTAGATTATGTGTTTTATAGAGAGAACACAGGACAGAAATGACCATATAGTAGAGTTGTTTCAAACATGTTCCTAGTGGCTAGGCAAAAAAGAACCCAGTCCTTAATGATTTAAAGGAGATGGATTTAAAAGGTTACATGGTAGTTCACAGAGTAAGTAGGAAAGGAAAGACCAGCAGGCTCAGGAAATGGGCCAGAACAAAGCCAAAGTCACAGCAGAGCCAAAGCCAGAGGGGACACTGCTTCCACTGTGTCTGGAGAATCCATTGCTGTGCTGCCAGCTGCCACCTGGGCAGCTCCTGCTACAGCCCCAGGACCTGAAAGTGTCTGCTTTGCCTTGCCCTGCCCCCCCCCTTTGCTTCCCCCCTGCTGCTTTGCATCTCCAGTTAAAGCCCAGACAGATGTGTCTAATTGGCAAAGCCTAGTCATCCACCAGAAGTGATTAGAAAGCAAATATCTAACATTTTCAGCTTGTACAATAGAATCTTATCTCCCTCCCACCAAATATCATAGAATGGAAAATTCCCAAAGTATGGAGCAAATCTGTACACTGAGCAGCTCTAAAAGTGACCAACTTGCTCTCTTAGTTCTTCTTGTCTTCACTTTGGTAGGAGGGAAGAACAACTTTTCCCTCTGGCTGACATCTCTGGGTGTCTGTTTGACTTGCCACTAGGAACGTGTTTGAAAGCGTGTCTAGCAGAGACCACGATTCTCACACAAGGGTTGTTTCAACCGCTGTTTCAGTTTCAGTGTATTCGTGTTCAGGGTCTCCTCCAAGACTTGAACTACACTGGTTAGGATGCTTGGGTTCGCAAAGTAGCCCTTTGTCAAACAGCAATTCCCATAAAAGATGCCCTCCAGACCTAGGATGATAGGCGGTCCTCCCTGCCAACTTGAGAACAACAGGTGCTTCATGCTGATACGGAGAGAGAGAGAGAGATGCAGATCATCATGAAATTGCCTGTCACTATAGGAAAGAGAGGGGGTGGGAATCAATCTTAATAAAGAAAATACCATACCTGCCAACTTAGCCCCATATTTAGTAGGAGCCTTACATTTGATAAACAACATGTTTGGCTTCCTTTCTGCGCTAACTGATCTTCAGTGCCCCCCTTAGTCTAGAACAACTAGCGTTCCTTCTGCCTCTTCCATCACTCCCATCTATTTTTTTTTAAACATTTATTTATTTATGCATACAAGAGCGGGGATACAGGCCAGAGGTGTGGGGGTGAGAGGATTCACCAGAGACAGAGTGGGGAGCAGAACAGGGGGATCTTCTGAAATACACTGCTGAGGGGAGCAACGGGCGAGTCGGGAGAGGTCCGCCATGTGGTAGCTCCCTGGCTAGGGATTGAACTTGTGCTGCAGTGGCTGTGGATAGCCTCATAGGTTGTGTCTTAACCCCTTGCGCCACTAGGGAGGCCCACGCCTATCTATTTTATTTTATTTTTTTTTAAAGATTTATTTATTTATACAAGCACTGGGTACAGTCAGAAGCGCGGGAGGGTGAGAGAATTCACCAGAGCCAGAGCAGGGAGCAGAGCAGGCAGAAGGACCGAAGTACACTGCTGAGGGGAGCAGCAGGCGGCAGGAGAGGTCTGCGCGCCATGTGGGACCCTCCTCCGGTGGCCGAGGGGCAGCCGGGGATTGAACCGGCGCTGCAGAGGCTGCGGGCAGCTTCGCAACCCAGCACTCAACCGCTGCGCTACCGGGGAGGCCCCCACGCCTATCTATTTTAAAGCATCCAGCTGAGTTCTGCTTGAGACCCTTTTTCAGAGGCTCACACCACACTAAATTAAAATTGAGTTTGCTGCCCTACATTTCTCAGTGTCCTCAGCTGGCGGCAATGCCAGCCGTTTCTAATGGGAGAAGAATCTACAGAGAAACCGCTGTGCACAGGCCTCCCCCTATTCACTGAGGCAGCCATGGCGAGATGCCCACTGCTCCTGCTGGCACTGGTAAGATGAGCTCTACCAGGGGCAGGAGGGGGCCTCTCCAGCCCACTGCGAGGCTGCGGCTGCTAAAATAAGACCTGAGATGCCAAGCGCAGTGGAGGATGATCCTGAGCCATGTCTGAGAACAAAGCCAGACCGGCTGCTGTGCCCACAGCCCTGGCCCCCAGAGCACACCACTGCTATGGAGGGGGCATTTCTGAAATCGTTTCCAATCCTGTCTCTCTTTAAGGCAGTCCACACTGTTTATCCTTTCTTCTCTGCTGCATGTTGCTGTTGGTCTTGCTTTGTGAGCCTTCCCCCAAAACAACCTGCTACAGACTTCTAATTATAACTCCCACAGTTTACTGCCTCCAGTCAATACAGGGTGGGGTAAGGGCACCCAGCTTGGGGGTATTAGTGTCTCAGCCCATCAGTGTTCTCATCCCAGACCACTTTTCCCCCCAAATTATGTTTATTGAAATAAAATGGCTTCACATTTTTGTATCTGTTCTGGGGTTATAGGTTCTAACCTCTACAAAAGTCTGCTTTCACACTCTGTCTACCACCAGTGCCCCAACAATCCTCTTGCCACTCTCCCCTTCTGGTTACTCCCGTTTTGCAGTCAGGTGTTAGAAGTTTATTGTTGGGTTGGTTTTGATTGACCCTTTGTTGTTTTTCTCCATATTCCACATGTGAGTGAGACCATCCTGCATTTATCTTTCTCCTTCTGACTTATTTTACTCAGCATTATCCTTCACAGTTCTATCCATGTTGTTGCAAATGGCAGGACATCATCCTTTTTTATAGCTGCGTAATATTCCATCACACACACACACACACACACACACACACACATTCCACATGTTTCCAATCCACTTCTCTGTCCTTGGGCAATTAAGCTCTTTCTATAACTTAGTGTATATCCCTTTCAATTAATATTCGTGTATTCTTCGGGTAGCTTCCTAGGAGTCGAATTGCTGGATCATAAGGTAGACTCATTTTCCATATTTTGAGAAAACGCCATTCCAAACCACTTTCTAAGAGCCACTACCCTTCTGATACTTTGAATCTGTTCATCTTTCTGGGCCTCAGTTTCCACTTCTGAGCTGTTTGGAATGGACAAAAACCTTTGGACTCGCATTGCTTTGGCTGTGCACATCTGAGCTGGCTCCACATTTATTCTGGAGATTATAATAGTCCCTATCTGATAGACCATTGTGAGGAATGACTACTTTAATACATGGCCAACTCTTAGGACAGTGTCAAATCCACAGTAGATAACAAATGTTATTGCTTCTAGTGTATCAGGCTTGTGCCAGTAGTTAGGAATGTTTTTAGGAACAATTAACACATAAATGGCAATTAATGGTGATGCTTCTTTCCACTTCTCCTAATGAGTTCATAAATGGGTTTGGGGGAAGGTCCCTGAAGTGAGCTGCAAAGTTTTGAATACTTGTACATGTTTTCAGAATGGGAAAAACATTACCTACATCAGATTCTTAAAGGGTGTGTAGTGGAGACAATGTTAAGGACCAGAGAATGCCAGGGATGCCTAACATCAGCCAACATGCATTCCAATAGCTACTAGCCAGTTAACCAATTCAGTTCAAAAATGGATTCCATTTCATCACAACTAAGTTACACAGAAAGTAAGATTCACTAAGAAAAATAACCAAAACCTTTGCTAGCCATTTTAGAGATGATAAGACCTGAAAATCAAGGGAATACGGTACGGTTCTTTGGGACCCATCCTTCCTTGCAGAGGCGCCCCTCTCTTGCCTCTGCCCCCGAGATGGTGTTAAGTTGGGCTGGAGCAGTGCCCTGCCCAATGCAGTGCTCACAGGACAATCCCAACTCTGCCAGCTGTTCTGGACAACTCACATACCTGCTGTGGAACACTGGCCAAGGCCCCGAGCCTCTCTGAGTCTCTGTTTGCTCCTTCCTACAGTGGGGAGCTCAGTACCTCCCCATCGGGTGGTACTGGTGAGAGAGTACTTGTGGACACCTGACTTTATAAGGCCTTTGAGCATTGGCCCTGCCTTTATTTTCTTCTCTCCTTATGCCAAGCCATTTGCGCAGAATAAGGCTCATCTAACTGAAAACCTTAGTAATGTGAGCTATTAGGCGATCAATTATTCTGAGCTCTCCCAGCTCTGCTACTAGTCCCTTGAATTTTGAAAACTGCCTAAATCTATTTGCCAGCCTTTCCGGGCGGAGCACGTGTCTCTGGGCCTCGAGAGGTGTTGTGTTCCCCCTCCACCCCCAACTCTGTGGTGCTCTGTGTTTGTGGCATGTGCATTGCTGTTCATGGTGCAAATACAGCGATAATTCATAAAACTTCATTTTGCATCCCACTGCAAACTGCTGTGCCCCTACCGACCAATTCCCATTTAGGTGTTGGCATGCCCACACGCCGCAGCCTGGCACAGGAAGAAGGGCTTTCTGTCGCCCCCCGCTTGTCCTTCCTGAACCTCCTGGTGGATTCACTCTGCTGAGATGTTTGTTAGATATTGAGACATCCTGCGGGGCTCCAGGGCAGGGCAAGCTGCCATCTCAGACCACGGCTGATCTATTTGGATGGTGTTGCTGTGTCTCCCGGATTAAAATATTAATACAATATAATTATAATACAATTATAAAATATTAATATTTTAATATTAATTAAAATATTAATTAAAATATTAATTTCTACCTACCCCCCCTTTCCTTGTTGTCTAGTATTCTTTTTGCAGATGTGAAAGGCTTTACCAACCTCTCCACGACCTTGTCTGCTCAGGAGCTGGTCAGGATGCTCAACGAGCTCTTTGCCAGATTTGATCGACTGGCCCATGTGAGTTGAATTTAATTCGCTCCTCGTCTTCTGCAGAGTGAGGGACCGCATATGGAATGAGGGGAGAGAAGGACTCGGTCGCCATCACTGATGCTGTTATCTTTCTGAAGCCTGTTCCCGAGTGTGCACCCCTGGCCCCGACACATTCTGGGGACCAGTGTTAGTGATTTCCAGGTCTCTGATGGGTGGTTTTTCAGCTCCATCTCCCCACTTGAGAGCCAGCTGGTGGAGAGACAATTAACCCAAAGGCCTTTTACTTGCGCCCCTCTCCCAGCACCATTCGCCCGGCCTGTGGCCACGTGCCATCCCACAGCAGCCTCGCTGTGGGTTCCTGCAGCCTTGGCTCCCTGCAGTTTCCCAGCCAACCCCGAGCAGCCAGAATGAATCAGACTGTTTCAAGAACAAGGAACCTTCCAGCCTGTCCCACCACCCCTTAGTATGACCTAACTTAAGAACTTTGCTTTTAACCAACAAGACACTACCTTTATTTTTCAGCTGACTTGGTCAGAGCTGAAACAGCACAGGATAAGGGAGATGGACATTCACTCTCAAAAGATAGATTCCCAGTCCTGAAGTCCCTCCTGTTGTGGAGGATGTCACTGCCAGCCCAGGCCACTGTGTGTCCCGCTCCAGGGACTTCATGGGCATGTATGAGAAACGCAGGTGAAGGAAGCCTATTCATCCCTGGAACAAGGAAAGCCACTTTTCAAAGTTTTCACCCCAGTCTTAGGTGTGTCACTTAAGCAATTGGGTCACAGACTCTGCCTCTGTATTAAAGGGGGTTGCCCTTTTGGCAAATTTTGGCCTTAAAATTCAGGATTTTATAGTGATCTCTGTCTGCCCTGCCATGATTCTTTTTCTTTAGATTTTCATTGTGTTGCCCACGGGAGGGAGCCGCCTCTCCTGTCAATAGCACATGCCATGTCTGTCTCCACACCGCTTTATTCAGATGCAGGAAAAAACTTCAAAGCCTCCTGTTAATGTTCCTCTTAGAGACTGAACCCCCAGCACCGTTGTGTTCAGGCTACTCAGAGTAGAGTATCTGGGGCCCTGGCAAACCTCAGTAACTTTCTGGTCCTGGGTCTTTCAAGTGGCCTCTGCCTCGCCCTCCCGACCCAGATAGGAGTGCTGTGCATTCCCTGTCGTGGAGACTCTAAAACTGCAAGATGAAGAACATATTCATTGTTATACACGCCACCACATAACTTAAACCTTGTTTTCTGTTGCTGGAACTTTGGAAGTAACCTAAATTATGGTTATGAGGAGTACATCCAACTCCATGTAAAGCTAATCAACAAATTAAAGAGAATGCAGTTATTTCTGTGCTGGCATAGAATGTCATGACACCTTGTTACACAAGGAAAGCATGTCTCAGATCGATAACTTTTATGATAAACGTGTGGCTCACAGGCATGAGAAGGTACTAAATAATGTTCTAAACACTAAAATAGACATGTACCTGTGACTTCACAGCAATCTCTGGGGGCCCCGGGGTGTCCTCTCCAAGGAGCAGGGCCACCCACAGTGCCCTGACCTCATCAGCAGCTCTGTGTATACGATCTGTATGCTATCCTATTGTTATAATTAGGTAAAAATACTCTAAAAATTGGCATGATTTCTAATATCACTTTTCTGAAGTAGATTAAGGGCCCTGAAGATTTTTGTTCTGAAGGTCTTCATTTTTATTGATTTTTTTTCTGATGACAAAGCAATATGTATTCATTATATGAAATTCAAACATGAAATACAGAGAATTCGGAAACTATTCATCTTTAATCTTACACTCTCCAGTTGTAAAACTATCTGTGAAAATTTAGTGCTTCTATCTCCTAATTTTTATCTATGATCTACATATAGTTTTATAAATTCTCTGGATTTTCCCAAACTTTTTATATCAAACCCACCAGAATGGGAGAAAGAGTGATTTTCAGACTGACAATAAAATTTGCAAGAAAATTCTCACCCTACTTTATTTTTCTTTGTCAATATCTTTTTTTTCAAGGAAACCCTGTTTCTTTAAGTAGAACTTTAAAAAAATCTTCTATGAGTTGCCATTGCTTGACACCCTTATCAATATTTTGACAAGAAAGGACTTATCCCCTCAGGTGTGGTCACCATACTTCTCCCACCATCAAGGCACCCCCACATTTCTCCACCATAAGTTGAGCTTTGCAAAGCAGTTTCTGGCAAAAAGAAAAAGTAGTTTGCATATTACTGTCAAGTGATCTGACATCTCATAGGAATTGACCAGAAAAATGTGTCTGCAAATTGACAGAATTTGACAGATAAGAAGACAGTTCTTCCATATATACAGATATAGATATACATTCATATTTCAGATGGATGATAGATAGATAGATAGATAGATAGATAGATAGATAGATAGATAGATAGACAGACAGATAGATACCACTTATTTAGAACCCACCATTTTTCAAGTTTGGTGCGGTTTCTTGGCTTGTGATCTCAGCCCTTTTGCTGAAACAGCCTTGAGTTCTCTTTCTTCTAAGACCTGCGGTGTCTGCCTCAGGCCACACAAAAGTGTGCACTGTGTCCTTGGGGCTTGTTCCTCTATGAAACATGGTAAAGACCATGTCCACAGATTGTGGACAACCGACCGCAACCTGTTTCTCACCTGTGAAGTGAGGAGGAAAACTGTCCCGACCACCTAAGTTTGTTGTGAAGGTGAGTCTGGAAACACGTGGATGTACAGAGTCATTGGGACATGTGGGGAGTCAGGGACAGTGTCAGCCTTATCAGAGGTGCACAACTGAGTTTGTTTTCAAAGAACAAGTATATGAATGAATCAATGAATAGGAGGATCTATAAGACCTACTCAGTCTACCTGCTTGGGAAGGGACTTAAGATGGGTTTGAAATAGTACGAAGACCTAAATGATTTATATTCTGAAGTGTTTGTTGTTGAACTAAGGACTGATAAAAATGGTTAATTCAGAGGCATGTCCTAGGAGAGAGACATCTATGGGGAAGGACCTGCATGTCCAATGTGGGCCTGGCTGGAAGGTCTATCCACGTGGTAGATATTCAGATCAGAGAGTTAGCTGTGGCCGAGCCAGGACCTCCTTTGTCTGTCCAGCTCAAAATCCCCAGTTTGTGCAGGACCCCACACCACCCTGGAGCCCTTCAAGCTGCCCTCCTAGTGTTCTAGGAAGACAAAAGAAGCACCTTATCAGAACTAATTGCTCCTGACCCCACAGTGCTGAGCACCTAGCCCCGGTCCCCTCTTTTCCAAGGCTTTCAGAAGCACTTTGCCAGGTGACTTGGTTCTTACCTTCCCATTGCCCCCCACTTCCTTTCCAGGAGCATCACTGCCTTCGCATTAAAATCCTGGGGGACTGCTACTACTGCGTGTCTGGGCTTCCCGAGCCCCGCCAGGACCATGCCCACTGCTGCGTAGAAATGGGCCTCAGCATGATCAAAACCATCAGGTAACTGGGGAGATGGACAGGGATGCAAGACAAAAATATTGATCAAATAGGATGGCTGCAGCACCCACTAATCAGAATAATACAGGGCAGCCAATTAGAATGGCTTCCAGCCATAGATAACCCATACAGCTCTGTGGTGCATCCTGGCTAATTGAATCACTGGAAGTAGGTTCCTACTTTACCAATGAGGAACTGTAGCTTCCAGTGTTTGTGTAATTAAACCAAATCATGTAACTAGTCAATGTCAGAAAGAGCGTGCCCATCTGGAATCATCTAGCTCCAAAGATATTAGCCTTAACCATTGTGGTATCCTGCCTTCCACTCCAGATTTCTACAGTTGCTTTGATGCCCGAAATCAGCCATTAATACTCAAAAGAGCAACATATAGCTTGGGAAATCTTCCATACACGCCTAATAAATTCATAGATCTGATGTTGGAGGTGGGGATGAGTCAGTAAATATCCAATAACACGGTAACAAGCCTTAATCAAGACAACCTCATCATAGATTCATTCCATCAAAACTATCTGATTTTAGAAACATGAGATTAGCTAAATGAATGGCAAAATAAAAATGATTGAATGTAACTTATTTCTAATGAAGTATTTAATACCACCTCATGCAAGTCTGTTCATAAAATTAAATTAATTAAACTAGGCCTAGATAATAGTTTCATTAACTAGATTGAAAAGGGCTCCAGGTGGCCCCTCTTTACATGCTCTGGGTCTATTTTGGGGAGTCTTGATAGCTGAGAAGATGCCAGAGTAATGGTGGACTCTGTTCTATGCGGTATCTTTTAATTATCTACTAAAGGTTTCCTTGATGAATCTTAATGAAAATTGCAGAGCCTGGTCTTTCAGTGTACTTACTAAAAAGTCACAGGATGACACCAGAATGCCAAGTAGGAACTGGCCTGTCCCCCGCTGTTAAGTGGAGCAAAGGTCTTAATCCTTGTAACCCTGTGGCCTAGCCAAGATATGGCAGGACAAGGAGTAAGAAACTCGAGTCACTTAACTTCTCTCCTGGGCCCAAGACCCCTGCAGCCCTCCTGGACACCTTTCCTTGTTCATTCTCTTCCTCCCTCTCCAACTTCTTTGCTTCCTTTCTTATTTCTTCCTCCTCCTCTTCTCCTACTTCTCTCTGTTCTCTCTTTCTGTCTCTCTTTCTCTTTCGCCCAACCAACCTCCCTTATCTTTCTCCCATTGATCATAATTGCCACTAACTGGCTATCAGGCCTCAGCTATAAGCTTGCCTGGTTCTTGATGGTGGCAAACCAGAATACACGTCCCAAAGCTCATATGTGGGGCTGGAAACAACACTTTGTTATAGCATCAGGAGATGCACAGGAGATGCACAGGTAGCAGCAGTGGCAGCAACCAGCAGCGCAGGCCCCCTGAGCCCTGGCCACAGCAGTGGCCCTGTGTCCCGAAAGTGACTAGAGAGTCCCCCTGCCTGGAAACCTCTTTTAGCTTTTATAAGATTTATAGACGAAGTCAGCACAGACCCAAGTTTAAGTCTAGTTTATAGAAATATGTGTTCATGCGTGCAAACTATACATCAAGGTTACATATTATTTGCTGCTTTCTGCACGTAAGGACCACATCTCTGGGCTATGTGCTTTCTATTAGGCCACCTGTGCTAGAAGGTCACAGCAAAAAAACAGTGTTGAAACTCCGAGAAAATTCTGTTTTCCTATGGGCCCTACACTCTACCATCCCTAAGGCCATAGCACTCTCACAGATGAGTCTTCAGTACATGAACTAGGATTTTTTTTATTGATTACATGGTCACCATGTGCTGGGCATGATATTAAATAATCTTGCTGACTTATCTCACCTAATGCAACCCCATAAGGAATGTATTCTTCTTTCCCCACTTTAAGGGGAGGGAACTGCATCTCTGATAGGATAACTTGTGCCAAAGCCATGAACTTGGCACTGGCAGAGCAAAGCCCCTGAGGCAGACTCAGCTGACTCTGAATGCCCAGGGGTGGGGAAATACACAAGTGTTGGCACTCAGCAAAGTAGGAAGATGGGTCGCCATTGAACTTCATGGTTTTCACTCATATTCAATAATATAGGAAAATTCTAATGAGCTTAAAGAAGTGTGCATCACAGAGCACACACATACACACACATCATTTAGGGCAACCTCCTGTAAAAATCTTTATAGGAAGAGAGCAGGGCATGACACTTTGTGATGCAAAATGGGTGCTTTTTTTTTTTTAAAGATTTATTTATTTTAACATACAAGAGCTGGGGTACAGGCCAGAGGTGTTGGGGGTGAGAGGATTCGCCAGAGACAGAGTGGGGAGCAGAACAGGCAGACCTACTGAAATACGCTGCTGAGGGGAGCAGTGGGCGAGTCAGGAGGGGTCTGCTGCACCATGTGGGTAGCTCCCTGGCTGGGGATCAAACTCATGCTGCAGTGGCTGCAGATAGCTTCATAGGTTGCGTCTTAACCCCTTGTGCCACCAGGGAGGCCCCAGCAAAATGGGTGCTTTTAATTCTCATATTTGTTTCTGTGTTTTCACAATTTCATAAATAATTGGGTATTCTTGATATAACTAGAAAAAGGAAATGTTATTTCAAAGGAGAAAAGAAGCTTTTGTAGGAGGAGAGAGGCAGGGAGGTATTGTCTTAAGAGTCCTCCAGAAAAACAGACCCAGCAGGGTATCTATAGTCACACACAGAGATAAATCAATTTTTAAGGAATTGGTTCCACAAAGGTAGAGGCTAAGGAGTCTGAGATCTACATGGGGGATGGAGATGCCAGTGTTGGGGCTCAGCCTCTAAGACAGTTGGCTCTACCTCCAGGGAAGTTTTCTTCTAACCCCTTCAAGTGACTGATTGACAAACACCGTATTGTGGGGAGAAATCTGCCTCACTCAAAGTCTACTAAATGCTCATCTCCTCTGAAGATATCTTCAAACAGCGTGTCGGCTGGGGCTTGACCCCATGTGTGGAAACCAGGCCTAACCAGGTCAACACATCAAATAAGACACCACAGAGTTCTACCTCCCCTCGGGCAAAAACACCTGCAAAAGAGGACTTAGAACTCATGGAGATGGGCTGGGGCAGCAGTCAGGAAGGAGTGAAGGCACTTTCACTGCATGGGCTCAGGGATTGGGGTCTTCGAGAGCTGTGGAGAGAAATCTAGCGAGACTAGAACCATCCTCCCCTCTCCGATGCAGGGCCCCACGGCCCATGGAGCCATATTACCTGAGCGTCCTTGAATTAGTACTTTCACCCCAAAGGTAAGCTGTTCCTGCTTGGGAGAGACAGCCATTAAACTGGCAGGAGATTCACAAGTCAGTTGACATCAAGTTGGAAGCTTGACATCAGCCTTCACGAGTACATTACCACAGACATTGGCAACGATCACAAATCAGGATCTTTTTCAGTAGAAATAGTAGTTAAATGCTGGGTAGCACAGGACAGGGGCAGCCCTCAAGCTGGGTACCCAGCCCTCCAGAGTGGAAGAGATTCCACATCCACACTCGGAGGGAACCCTCCATCAAGAAATTCTGTTGACAGTTACCATCACATTCTCGCTTTCTCTGTCTCTGAGGCCACAGCGAGCCTCAACGCCGTCATGATGGCAGGTGTGCGTGTGTGTGTGTGCACCTATGTGCGGGAGATGAGTCAAATAACTTTGGCACACATCTTTGGCCAGATCTTCCCCTGCTCCTCCTGAGAACCAGGGGCTTTTGCGTTTATGCATCGTTTTAGAAACCAAGGGCAAGGGAAGTGTTAGGATGAAGTCATCCTTCCGGTTTGCACTTAAGGTACTCCCTGGTCCCATGATTTTGTTTGTCCAGGGAAATCTCTTCCTGGATCATCTCATGGGACTTGCGTTTGGTGGAATATGCTTGATGACATGCACTTTTTGTAACATCAGACTGGAAATGGTCTGATGGGAGAGTTTGATTCTGGTTCATTACAATAGTGACCTACAGACTTTTTCTCCACACGCCCTATGATAATTTTGAAAGGTAAGCCCTTTACACAGTTCTAAGTTCACATCTAAATCTCATAAAATTATGCTTATTTTTCTTTATAGGAAAGAAAATTTATTAAATAATTTATACAATAAATTAAGTTGGGAATGATCTGTGACTATAAAAATATATTGGATAATACGATTTTTTATAATAGGCTTGACTACTTTATTTAATAAAGCACACTGCTATGGACTGAATCACTTCCCTCCAAAATTCATGCTAAAGCCCTAACCCCCAATATAATGATATTTGTAGATGGGATCTTTGGGAGGTATTAGATCTAGATGAGGCCATGAGAGTGGGGCTCTCCTGTGCACCCATGAGAAGAGATACAGAGGACGCGGAGACAATTTGAAGGCAAATTCAGGCTCCCTGGCCACACAGTTGGTAGTCCCCCGCCTGCCGTGCTCTCTCTCTCAAACACACTGTCAGTGACCCCTGAGACACCCTTAGTGACCTTTGCAATCTACAAGAAGGAGCTTATGGGCTGCATGTTTTGGAAATTAATAGGCAGAGACTGTGTCATCCACCTCTTGGGCTGAGCCAGATCAGTCCTCAATGGTGCATGCATCCTGGCATGGATTCATGACCATGTTGGGCAATTGAAATGGATCATTGGATTTAGGCTAACACACCTGGGGTGACATTCCAGCCCTTCCACCTAGAGCTGTGTGACCTAATGAAAGAAACTTCCTGGGTTTCAGTTTTGTCATCTGTAAAATGGTGATGGCAATGAATGACACACAGAGTTGGTATAGAGATTTGTGACACACCAAACACCCCACGCAGGGGCTGTAGCTGACCTCCTTGTCTTCCCTTTTCTCCAGCATGTTCAAAGAGCTTCTTTCTGGTAGCTGAGGATCACTTAATTGTTACTGCATTGTAAACTAGCCTGTCCTTCTTGAACCAATCTATGCCTAAAAACTTCCCAGTGGCGGAAGGGATCCTGCTCAGCGAAATAAGCCAGAAAGAAAAAGAAAAATACCGGATGGTCTCA